ACACACACACACACACACACACACACACACACACACACACGCACACAGAGTGTCGCACACATACACACACACACAGTGTCACACACACAAACAACAACAACAAAAAAGAAAAAGAAAAAGAAAAAAAACACGCACACGCACATAGAAGCCCTGGATACGGACTCGTATAGGGATCCCGACGTACGTACCAATCATGGCGTTGATGAGTCTGGGCCTGGACCGTCCGATTTCACTCCACTGAGCTTCAGTCATCTGTTCAAAGATCATCGACTCATAGCCATCTTCATCGCCATGTCCACCTCTCTCCGCCTCTACTTCTACTTCTCCTCCCTCTCTCTCCCACTTCTTCTCCCTATTTTCTTCTCTCGGTACTCTTATCTCCACCCCCGCGAACGTGGCATTATACAGGCCATCGATCCGAGATTGCAGATCGTCTAATTTGCCCATCTTTCCCGCCAATTTCTGTTCCAATTCCTTAATTACCTTCTCTCCTTCTTCCAGTGCTTCGACGAACGCTTCCGCCTTGCTCGTCTTTGAGCTGTCCTCCTCCACCATAGCCATAGCCATAGCCACATCAAGAGCCGGATCACTGACACGTGTCGCCTCCTCAGCGCTCGTAGCAACCCCGCCGCCGCTGGCGCCACCACCGCCGACGCTCATCAGTTTCCCGCCAGATTGAACGGCCCGATGGGGGCTTGATCGATGGCCAGCAATCGAGTAATAACAATTTGTTTTCCCTATTTTTTTATTTATCGAGAAATACCGATAGCTTTCTGCAGAATCTGCACCATCCACGTGGGCTTGCGCGTTAGCTGCCACGTGCACATGCTCCCTCTTCGTTCCCACCTTCCTCTGTGATCCGCGGTCTAAACTCTCCCGCCAAAACCATAACTTCTTATCCGAATCGGCGAATTCGGTAAGTAACGACGATAGCCGGTCATGGCGGGAACTTCGTCCCGATCCCGACATCGCCGCGGTCGAGACCAGTGGATGTCTGGCAGCAAAGCCGACGACCGGTCCTCGTCTGCTGCGACCAGTCTCCCATCTTCCCTGACAAGAAGTCCGGGAAGAAGACGAATACCATTCACCATCGACTCCATTGGCGCCATAGCCGCCAGTTCCAAGAAGCGTGTCCTTCGTCGACGATGCACCCCCATAGCCGCCATAGCCGCCAGAGATATAGCAACGCCAACGACGAGCGTCCGAGTATCTGCGGGCTGTGCGTACTGCGACCGCGTAGAGCGACCGGTCGCCAGTTGCGCGACCTGTGGACGCCGCTTTCGACGGCCCGGCAACTACGATCCTGTATCGCGACCGGTCGCCAGCGGCATAACAGGCCGCCATAGCTGATGTACTCGCCATAGCCACCGTTCTTTTCTTTTTTTTTTTTTYTTTTTTTTTTTCTTTTTTTTTTTTTTTTAGGAAAAGGCAGTCCCGTTCTAGAGATGGGGTAGGAGAAGGAGGAGGAGGATGAGGATGAAGAAGAACAGGACGAAGACGAAGAGAAGGAGGAGGAGGAGGAGGAGGAGGAGGAGGTGGAAGGTGAGGTGTGAGCCTCCTAGAGCTTGCCGATGACGATCCTAGTGACCCGGAACATAGTCCCGCCCGGTCGCGATCTCCGGCTGTCGATAGAACTGATGGCCAGGATGATTCAGTCACCTCATAGCGCGCCAGATCATACCTGCCGCCACACCGTTTTTTTTTTCGTTTTTTTTTTCGTTTTTTTTTTCGTTTTTTTTTTTTCCCCACACAAAACACACACAGCCCAGCCCCTTCTATTCTAGGAACCACCAATCCAGTTGCTTATCACTGGCAAGCAAAAAAACATCCTTCGAGAACCATCCCCCGGGGGAGGGATAAGGTCATGGGAAGCGGACGACCTTGAGTTTGCTTCCTCCTCCTGTCGCCCTCATTGTCATTTTGGCGTTTTTAAAACTTTTTTTCTTTTTAGATCAACTTTTTTTTTCGATTAAAAAAAATATATATATATATCTTCTCGGAGTCCTCCTTTTTGCCTTCTCGGAGTCCTCTACTGATTGAATTTTTTCGGAGGATTCCTAAATTAAAAAATAATAATCTAAATTAAAAAATAAAAATAAAAAAAGGAAAAAATAATAATAATAAAAGGAAAAAATTAAAAAAAAGAAAAAAGAAAAGAATGGCGATGGAGATGGCGATGGAGATGGCGATGGAGATGGCGATGGAGATGGCGATGGAGATGGCGATGGAGATGGCGATGGAGATGGAGATGGAGATGGCGATGGAGATGGCGATGGAGATGGCGATGGAGATGGTGATGGAGATGGCTACTTCTTCTTATAAAAAATAATAATTAAAAAGGAAAAAAAAATAATAATGAAAAGAAAAAATAACTAAAAAAAAGGAAAAAAGGAAAGAACGGGGATGGAGATGGCTACTTCTTCTTTCCCGCCTTCAGCTTGCCTGCCAACGGCTATGGCGCCGTCGTTCTCATTCCCGATGGATGGCTATGGTGGCTTCGTCGTCGTTCCTTCTCCTTGACGATGGATGGCTATGGAGACTCCCTCCTCGTTTCTCCTTCGTCTTCCTCAGCTACACCCTTCTTCCTAATAACCACAAAGACGAACAACTCGGACTCAATAGGAAAATTCCCGTGAGGGAAAGGTGAAAAGAACCCTAAGAAAGGGAGTGAAATAGAAAACCTGAAACCCGATGCAAGCAATCAGTCGAAGGCTGAAAGATGCATCATCACATTTGTTTTTCTCCTAAACTTCAATCCTTTGAATTTTTTTTATTATTTTTTTTATATATATTTTTTTTGCCAAAAGAAGTAACGATTATTGTCGTGCGGGGAAACGGGCCCGGCGTCCCTCACAAAGTTCACCGCAGTCCTTTTTTTTTTTTTTTTTTTTTTTTCAGAAGGCGCCGCTGTCTTTTGACTTCCGTTCTGTTTCTTTTTGCTACTTGCCGTGCGGAGTGTACTCACACTCGGCCTTTTTTTCTTTTTTTGGGGGGATGTACCTGACTGCAATTACGACAGGCCGATGATGAATCTGGCCGAATGTGCGTCCCGAGACCCGTCGAAATTGTCTTAGTGTTATTAACTTATTATAACAATGATAAATAAGTTATTATTGTTATCTTTTATCTATATCGTCAAACAGGTAAACCGTACGCAGAGAGGGAGAAGAGGACAACAATATATATATATATATATTTTCTATGATTATTATTATTATTATTATTGTTATTATTATTATTATTATTATTATTATTATTATTATTACTATTATTGTTATTATTATCGTGTTATCAATGACGTAAGAAATGCTTCCATTTTCCTTCGTTTCCCATTAAAGAAAAAAAAAAAAAAAATAGTGAATAACTTGAAATATATTTTTCTTTATAAAAACATTTCTTCTTTAAGAAAAGTTAGAAAACTGATCAATTTAAAAAAAAAAAAAAAAAAATTATAAACGTAGTAGCTTTACCCAGCCCATGCGGCTGCATTTCTACGCCTCTGTATCTCCGGGCAAAATTCTTCCACATTCAGGCAGCGCCACTCAATCCAACCCTCTCTCTTTTGTCCATTCCCACCCGTGCGGGGGCTAGGTCCCACTTGCGCGAATTAAGAGATACTGACCGTAGATCGCAAAGATCAACGATCGAAATCTCCTAATTTGCGCAAGTGGGACCTTGCCCCGGGTCCAGCTTCAGAACCGTGGCAGGCTTTGCTTGAGCAAACCGACAGCATGCTCTCTTCCCTTTAATAGACTCAGGAAGCTCCCGTAATCCATCCGGAATCAAGACGTGTTTGAGGACAGGTGCAGGCAGACTGTTGTGCAAAGTTAAACGCATCTGTTTGAAGGAGGACCCTACCCGCGAAGAGATGAAACTTCGACAGGCCTGCTGTGGGGAGCGAGAGGAACCACTATCACCCTGTGTCCAGCGCTGAAACACACGTGGCACATCAGATTGGATGGGATGTTGATTAATTGGCAACTCAGAATTCTGGAGACTTTTTTTCTTTTTTTTTTCTTTTTTTTTTCTGTTTTTTTGGCAACACGACAAATAAATTAAGGTTGAAAGGTCTTTTTTTACTTCGATTATTTCTTTTATTTTATTTTTTTTACTGAAATTGCACGTTTATTATCCGGGCCCAGTGCCCAACGAGTATTTCTCACTTGCACCAGTTTTTAACCCTCTTTTTCTTTTTTTCTTTTTTTTTTTTGTGGGCCATTTCTCGATTTATGCGTGTCATCCTTGCGCAGGGGCCATGCTAATCTTCTCTGTATCGTTCCAATTTTAACGGATGTCCCGAAGGACTCATCCTCTTTTTCTACAGTAGTGAGCCCTTGCTTCTCCACGATTCCTAGAAATACACTAACCTTAACGGTTTACTCCCCTTAACAACAACATAAATTTAATTAATTAATTAAATTAATTAAAGTAATTAATTAATTAATTAAATTAATTCATTAATTTAAAAAAAAAAAAAAAAAAAAAAAAAAAGAAACCCTACCTTCTGCGGTGTAACAGCCCAAAAACAAAATCATCTCTTTGCAAGGGTAATGCTCCGGGGAAAAAAAAAAAAAAAAAAAAAGGGATTGAGGGCATACTCACAGTAGGAGGACCTTTTGACTTATTTCTGGACGTAATTGCGGTCAGATGCCTCCCAGGGGGGCCGTAATTACGCTTAGATACATTTAAGATTGCGCTAGAGTGAGTATGCTCTGAGTCTCTCCCTTCTTCGGTGGTCACATATCCGTCATAATGATTGCTTATTGTTGTTGATTAGTACAAGGGACGCTGGACCCGTTTTCCAGCCGGTGAAGATCCCAACCAATAGATTGGAATCGTCCACGTAGATACCTCAATGATCCTGACGGGTCTTTTGCCACCACAGGATTGCAGGTGGTCTTGACAGGAAGTTACAAAAAAAAAAAAAAAAAAAAAAAAAAACATCTCTAGCCAAAGAAAAGAAAAGAAGAAGAAGAAAAAAAAAAAAAAAAAAAAAAAAAAAAAAAACGAAGCACCCAGAACAAAATGCTCACAAATAACAAAATGCTCAAGTCAAATGGAAAAAAAGAAGAAGAAGAAGAAGAAGAAGAAGAAGAAGAAGAAGAAGAAGAAGAAGAGAGAAAAAGTCTTTCCTTTTTTTTTTCCCCCCAAAAGAACTGTCTTTTTATTAGGCCCCAGTGCCCAAGGCCAAAAAAAA